GGCTCCTGGGCTGCCAGAGGGATGTCTGATTGCCAGCTTAGGCCTAATCCCCCGGAGAGCAGTCCTAAGCCAGCAGGTGGTCATCCCTGAGGGGTCCCAGACTGCAAGAGGGCACAGGCCAGGCTGAGGGACCCCCCTCCTGAGTGCACAAATTTTTGTGCACCGGGCCTCTAGTAAAGTCAATAAAGGGAGCCCTGGCAAATGAGCCCTAATTCCTGTGGCCCTTGAGGCAGGGCTGTGGTGACCCCACTTTGGCACAGGGCCCATCCCTCAGACTACTCCACATCATCCTTAGAGCTTTCATGAACTCTTGACAGCTGCATCCTCTTCCCTCTCCCCTGATTAGCAGAGCATCATGACACACTAAGCTCACTCTAGCATTGTAACCACTGTTCCAGGTAGAATGTCTCATGGCTCCTCTGGCCAATTTAAAAAGCCATCTACTTTTTCCAATTCACACTGAGTCTGAACAGTGTAAGGCAGAGAGGAATATGCAACTATGAAAGCACTTTAAGATTCAAGACAGCCAAACTGCACAATTCAGGTCATAATGTAGACTTAAAGACGGAAATATCTGAATTGTGTACCCCACTCTCTGTCACCAGGTGATTGCATGATTTTGCCTTGCTTTGTGTTCTGTGGACATGAGCTCATTCTGTAGAAGAAGCTTCTTGGACATTCTCAGGATGCTTGAGGAAAAGCTTTGTATTTTGAATGCTTTTTTTTGGATTCCATAATTCCTTTGGTGAAAAATTGAAAATCTGCTTACAGTGTATCTAGATAAAAAGAAAAATGAACACCAATTGGTATTCAGTGAAAAATACTAAACCTGAATTATATGTCACATTATATATCATACTTTTAAAATAGGTTTTATTGTGAAAAATTTCCACCATACACAAAAGTTAGGTAATAATCCCTGATGAATCCATCACCCAACTCCAATAAGCACCACGTTTTACTTTCTTGATTCCTATCTTCTGCTTGGTTTGGCTATGGTTTTTAAAGTTTATCCCAGACATTACATGTCATTTCACCCCTAGATACTTCATTACACATAGAAAAGAAATGACATTTCATAGTCACATGGCAATATCACACCTAATGAAAAATATTCTTTAATATAATAAGTATGATTTTAAAGTTTCCCTAATTGTCTAAGAGACATTTATTTTTGCAATTGGTTTGTTCAAATCAGGATCCAAACAAGGTACACTTATATTTGGTTGTATAGCTCTGAAATCTTTTAAAAATATTTTTTGGATGTTGCTGTTATAGCTTTTAAGTCTTTAAAAATGTTTATTGACTATAGTTTCTATGCTGTGCCCCCCCCCCCATTGTCACATGACGTTGACTTTTTTCAGAAACCAGATCATTTTTCCTGAGGAATATTTCACATTCTGAACATGCCTGCTTGTTTCCTCAAATCATTTAGCAAAGATTTCATGTATCAATGAAGCAGAGATTTAAATTGTTTTTCTTTCTCTTGTAGTACTTCCTGAAGACTAGAAGATCTAATAATTTGAATAAATTCAGGTGTTGTTTTTTTTTATTGTTTGGGCAAGAATACTATTAGTCAGAGAACCCCAAAGATAAATACTTTGCATAGTTATTCTTCCTCCACATTGTGGCTGCCGTTTTGACCTTCATCTCCATCAGCCAAGCATGCATGTAATGCTGCTTAAAGCCCCAGGAATCTAAATTGAAAGAGAGAGAGGCTGAGTCTCCCTCCTTAGGTTCTGACCCACATTCTAGTTTAATGTCTGAACTCTATCACTCACTCAAATGACCAGTCCCCCAAATGACCTCCCTCTTCAGGTGACAGGTGTATTCATAAGATTGGGGTCTGACTCTGACCCTTGTAGGCCTCAGCAGGCTATTCATATCAGAATAGAAACTATCAGCCCCACAGTCCTCAAATTCATACACAGCTGGGAAACAGAATCATGCCTGGGTTGGGGGTACAGTGGAAATGTATGTTCATACAAGGGCCAATATTAGCTCTTCTGAGCAGAGAGGGATCATCTGAATGAGAAGTAAAAGGCAGCTATAATGTGAAAATGAGTAGAAGGGTAAGTATTGGTCAGAAAAATATAACCCATGTCTTTCAAACAGGTCGTAAGAAGTGCATCCCAATGATGGTCAGAATTAGCATTTCTTTGTGGGAACTCCAGCCACCTTGCTTCTAAGAGCCCTTGCTTCTGAGTGTTGTGTGTTGTCCATAGAACTAGTCCTGTGACCATTCTGGGGCATTGATCCTTTTCCTCTAATGCACTCTGATGATATGTCTCATGGCTTCCTGCTAAAATCTCCTACTAGGCGCCACTACCTTCTGCACCAATCTCCAATCTGGCTATGCAAGTCCCCTGATGCCACCGTTAGGGCAATTCCTGGCCTTTCTCCTGTCTCTGACAAGTCCCTGATGCTGCCTGCAGAGTCACTAACACTGCTGCCTCAGAGCTCTCATGCTCTCAACTTTGCAAGACAGCATGATTTTAAAAACAAAACTACATCTTTTGGTTCTTACTGGTTTAGTTCTCCCAGCCCTTTTGCTGAGAAGAGGAGTTGTCTAAGGGGCTGGATTTGGAAAAGGAGTCCATGCCAGACTTCTTTGTATGCTTAAAATAATCTCTCTCCCCCCATCCCTTTGTCCAATGAACCAAATGTCAAGTCCCTGCCCCTGGAAATCCATCATCTGCCAGTAAGCCCCTGGGCTTCTCAAGCTCCAGACCTCTAGTAGGCTGCCTTCCCTCCTATTTCCAACACACTCAGATCTGTGTATCCCAGAGCCCACATCTATTAGGCATATACTGTGACTCCTACTATGTATGCTTTGTCTGCCTCATTACTTTTTTTATTCTTCTGCTATCAAAAAGGCCCCAAGAAAAAGTTAATAGTAAGCCTAAAAAAATTGTGCCATACTTATAAAAATACATTAAAAAATGAAAGAAAAAGGCAACAGGTGAAATAGTACAAAACACTTATCTGTGTGTGTAAAAACATCATTTCATTTATAAAGTTAAAAAATATCACTGAGCCCTAACCGGTTTGGCTCAGTGGATAGTGCGTCGGCCTGCGGACTGAAGGGTCCTGGGTTCGATTCCAGTCAAGGGCATGTACCTTGGTTGCTGGCACATCCCCAGTGGGAGGTGTGCAGGAGGCAGCTGACCGATGTTTCTCTCTCATCGATGTTTCTAACTCTCTGTCCCTCTCCCTTCCACTCTGTAAAAAATCAATAAAATATATTTTTTAAAAATCACTGAATTAAAAAATTATATAACCTATAGAACATTATGTTTTGAAATTGCCTTAAAATCATTTGACCCTTTTATTTGGATAAATAAACTGAGGCTCAGAGAGATTACATAATCACAGTTGATTAAAGAAAGGGCTAAATTAAGTAAAATTGGTTACAAAGTGGAATATATGTATGGAAATTTGTGTATCTATATTTATAGCATCAGTTCACATGTTCTGTTTTGAAGAGGTGAAGAACCTTTTGCTGTTAGTCATCTTGAGTTTGTTGACTATCAATGACAAACAACTGAAGTTTGAACATTTCTCTCTTAACCCTAACCCTTTACAAATCAACAAAGGTTTTCAGCTGGGTCAAAAAAATAATTTAAAGGTCAAGTAAATGATAATCACAATGAAACAGAGTGCTTCCAATTTTACTCTAGCAGACAATGCAATTTTAATACCTTAGCTTACTTACACGGTTTACATACAAGTTTATACGGCTTATAGTATTTTATCAGAAGTCTCTGGAATGTGTGCTGGATGTAAGACTTTGGAACACAGAGATGGTTTTAGCCAAATAATAATCAATGAAGCAGAGATTTGCAATTATTTGGTTCATTTGAGCCTTTAGATAGCTTGCCTGGGTAACTGAGAGCCCAAGGCTTGGATTTTCTCATGTTAGTTGATTACTTCTAGTTCTTAGCATAGGTACATAGTAGATGCTTAATTAATGCTCAATCATGAAAGGGACAACTAACATTTGTAAAGCATGATACACTCTATCAAATCTTTTCACATACAAAGTACTGATAATTATAAAAGCTTCATTATATGTTGTGTAATTCCAGCCTGAATAAAAAATGTTGTGAGACTACTATTAGCATTATATCTCTAACTCAATCATCAAAAAAAATTTTTTTTTGGTAAAAACTGACACATTAAGCTATGAAGAGAATGACAAGAAGGCATTGTGCCTTTTAAGGAGATATAAACATGTGATAAATTTTCTGCTTGCAAATATTAGAACAAGTATCAAGAGGGAGTAGACACAGGCCCACATAGGGTCAATTTGAATCTCCTGGGGTTAGGTTTCCTAGTCTAGAGCAGTGAATGTGCATAGGCCTGGGACATAGTTTGTAGGTTTATTGACACAGTGGCAATGAATGCAAGGACAGTGAATGCTGGACATATGAAAAAATGCTGGCCTGCAAGTCTAATAAACCTTTTTCTGTTTCCTTTTTATTATTTTAAACATAGCAAAGGGTAGGGAGACTAACATAATGGACACCCATACATCCATTGCTTATATGTGATAATTGTTAATATTTTGCCATATTTGCTTCATATTTCTTGCTGAAGTATTTTGAAGAAAATATATGCAGTATACAACTCTTAAAATGAAGGATCAGTTGTCTAGATAACCTTAATGCCTTTATCACACCTAACAAAATTAGCAACTATTTTATATTATCTAATATCTACTTTATAAAATAAACTTCATATTATCATTTTATAGGCAAATGAAATTATGAGCATTAGTGAAAAAATCCATTCTTTAGATACTGGTATTCACCTTTGTTGTCCACATAGATGGCTTGGTGTTGTCAATAGCACTCTAGGGCTGAAGAGACCTGCATTCTGTTTTGGAGTGAGATCACACATGAGTTGCTTAATTCTCCTTTTCTCAGATTCCTTGCTTGTAAACAAAGAGGATGGAATACATTATTTCCACTGGGGTTTACATGAAGAGCTGATAACCTGTAGGCCTAACTATCATTTGGCTTTATTTTCACACACTGTAGGGATAATTCAGGAATAACGCAGAAACAAGTTGTTTTGCTGTCTTAGTCCATTCGGGATTCATAACAAAATACCACAGACTGGGTGGCTTATAAACAACAGAAATTTATTTCTCACAGTTCTGGAGGCTGGAAGTCCCAGATCAGAGTGTCAACCTGGTTGAGTGAGGAGTAAGATCTGGCCTTTGTTTAGGTTAGAATCTTCAATGTGGGAGATATAAAAATGGAGTTTGTGCAGCCGTATTTTCTACTATAAAAACTGGTAGTTAAAGAGATACACAGAGTGAAACAAAGATGGAGGGAATGTCTGGTGCATAGTTCTAGTTCTATCCTGAGGCATGGCTTGGTTTCATCCTTATACTTTCCATTTTTTTATTTAAGTGAACTTGAATTGGTTTCCCCTTTTTGAAACAGAAAAAATTCAACAGATAGAATGTATTGTTGGAAGCCTATTGTCAAGTCCCTCAGTCATACTATTGCGTCTATCAGATCGGCCAGGAGTTATTCTCAAAGGTGCGGAGAATACAGTCTCTGAAGATCTAAGTATATAATTAAAGTACCCCAGGAGAGTTAAATGAGGATCTTAGTTTATACCTGACAGGTCCAAGATTTATATGTAACTGTGAATGTGCGTGTGTGTATTTGTAAAATCAAGTAATTAATTTAAATAATTGTCATAGTCTTTAAAATATTAGCAGACTAATGAGAGGGAATGGGCAGGCAACTATCTTCCCCATGGTACTGAATACAGCAGAATAGTTGTTTGTTTTGTAGGTAATTTCTTTCTCTAATTTTTAGGATGAAAAATAGTGACCCTGCCCATAGTTTTATCATTCAAACACAGAAAGCATAGCTCTCCATTCTACATATAAAACTGGGATGGACACAGCTGCAAAGAGCTGGATAATTACAATATCAGTCAGATCAGGGGAGAATAATGACTTTACTTGAATAGAGCATTTGGGAAGGAATTAGAATTGAAAGGAAAATAAAATAGCAAAGCAAACTATTTAACATCGGTCTGGTCTTCAAGTGAGCACAGGTGAAAGATGGTAACAATGGTATTTGCTTCAAATGTTGCTATAGGGCCGTGGTCGGCAAACTGTGGCTCATGAGCCACATGCGGCTCTTTGGCCCCTTGAGTGTGGCTCTTCCTAAGCCTTAGGAGTACTCTAATTAAGTTAATAACAATGTACCTACCTATATAGTATAAGTTAAAAAAAATTTGGCTCTCAAAAGAAATTTCAATCGTTGTACTGTTGATATTGGCTCTGTTGACTAATGAGTTTGCCGACCACTGATTTGGCTAAGTGGACAGAGCATTGGCTTGCAGAATAAAGGGTCCTGGGTTCAATTCCAGTCAAGGGCACATGCCTGGGTTGCCAGCTCGATCCCCGGTAGAGGGCATGCAGGAGGCGGCCAATCAATGATTCTCATCACTGATGTTTCTATCTCTCTCTCCCTCTCCCTTCCTCTCTGAAATCAGTAAAAATATATTTTAAAAAAATGAGTAAGAGACCTTCTTGTCCTTGAGGAGTCCACAATCCAATTAGAAAAGAGGATCAGAGTGATTATTTCCATCCAATATGATTAGAACCATGACAGAGATAAGCACAGGATAGCACTGGGCCCCAGGGGAGGTACCTCACACAGGCTCAGGTAATTAGAAAGACTCCTAGAGAACAAGCCCTTGACCAGAATCGAACCTGGGACCCTTTAGTCTGCAGGCTGACACTCTATCCACTGAACCAAACCAGTCAGGGCTGTTTTCCTCTCTTCTTTTTCCCTAGTGGTTCTCAACCTTCCTAATGCCGCGACCCTTTAATACAGTTCCTCATGTTGTGGTGACCCCCAACTTCATTGTTACAAATTGAACATAATTAAAGCATAGTAATTAATCACAAAAACAATATGTAATTATATATGTGTTTTCCGATGGTCTTAGGCAATCCCTGTGAAAGGGTCGTTCGACCCCCAAAGGGGTCGCGACCCCCAGGTTGAGAACCGCTGCAAGAAAGCTAGGAGAAAGGCAGATAGTTTGAATCCGTACCAAAAGGAGGGAAAAAGAACCTTTCCCACACTCTCTCCTCACGCTCTTTCTCCCTTTCACCGGGTTTATCTATTTGCTTTAAAATACCCCCTCAATTGAAAATTGAAAACAATTGTTTTTGAGGTTGTTTTATCTTCCTTCAAAACAGCTCTGACTGGTTTGGCTCAGTGGATAGAGTGTTGGCCTGTGGACTGAGGGGTCCCAGGTTCAATTCCCATCAGGGGCATGGAGAGAAGGGGGAGGAGGAGGGGAATATAATTTCTTTCCACTGACCTGGACAAATATGATGGCTTGTTGTGGATATTAAAGAGGTAACTAATCCCATGAAAGCAGGTGGATACACCAGCTTCTTTGTTTTTGAACTAGCCAAAAGGAGTCCCACACGCCAGCAGAACCAGTAACACCAAGTCTTGGAACAAATGCAGGCGGTGCCTTTTGGAGATATTCATAGCTGTGTAACCCCCACTGAACCCAACTTTGCATCTTGGGCTCAGTGTGGGAGTACAGTTCCTGACACCAACTTTTTTTTTAACAAACTATTTTTTAAAAAAAATATTTTTATTGATTTAAGAGAGCAAGGGAGAGGGAGAGGGAGAAGCATCAACGATGAGAAAGAATCACTGATTGGCTGAGAGAGAAGAGTCATTGATCAGCTGCCTCCTGCAGGCCCTGCACTGAGGATCAAGCTGGCAACCTGGGCCCTTGACCGGAATCGAACCCAGGACCCTTCAGTCCGCAGGCCGAGGCTCTACCCACTGAACCAAACCAGCTGGGGTGACACAACCTTTATACACCGGAGATGTGAGACGCTTTCTTCAGGTTGAGTCCTTGGCTCCACCGCGTATTTAGTTGACTCCTGGGAACCAGTAGAGTGCAAGCTCATTAACCCTCGCGGAAGTTTTGTGAGGTGAGTCCTGTGATGCATAGACCTTGAGGGTGAGCAGACTCGGCCTGCCGTCCCGCGGACCTCTAATGACTTTGCACACGTCGCTGGCGGGGGCGGCTCTGGCGGGTTCGCGTGTTATTGTTGGTTGCTTGTTTTTAAGCTTGGAAGCCACTAGGCTCCGCTACCAAAAATAATCACCAGACG